GGGTTTACAATCAGACTGTAATTTGGATGTGCATTCTCCAAAACCCCACAACACCTAGGAAAGTCTGTCTTTCTTTTTTGTTAGTTGGTGGAGACATAGCTGTTATTTTGTTGATCACATCCATTGGGATTTGACAGCATCCATCTTGCCATTTTATTCCTAAAAACTGGATTCTTGTGCAGGTCCTTTGACTTTATTTTGTTTTGGCAAAACCAGCTTCAGAAGGATTTGGACTATTTTCTTCCCTTTCTCAAAAACTTCCTCTGCTGTTCCACCCCAGACAATGATGTCACTGATGTACTGCGGATGTTTAGGAGCTTCCCCCTGTTACAGCGCAGACTGGATCAGTCCATGGCAAATGGTAGGGCTGTGTTTCCACCCTGGGGTAGCCGACTCCAGGTGTATTGGACACCCCTCCAAGTGAAAGGAAACTGGCCTGCACTCTGCTGCTAAAGGGATGGAATAAAATGCATTAGCGATATCAATTGTGGCGTACCCCTTGGCTGCTTTTGATTCCAGTTTGTACTGGAGTTCCAGCATGTCTGGCACTGCAGCACTCAGTGGTGGCGTGACTTTGTTCAGGCCACGATAGTCCACGTTAGTCTCCACTCACCATTAGACTTTCGCACTGGCCATATGGGACTATTAAAAGGTGAATGAGTCTTGCTGATCACTCCTTGGCTCTCCAATTGACGAATTAGCTTATGGATGGGAATCAGGGAGTCTTGGTTGGTGCGATATTGCTGCCAGTGCACAGTTGTGGTAGCAATTAGCACTTGCTGTTCTTCGACCCTCAGCATCCCCACAACAGAAGGGTCCTATCAGAGACCAGGCAAGGTAGACAACTGTTTAATGTCCTCTGTCTCTAAGACAGCTATGCCAAAAGCCCTTTTGGGTCCTTGAAATATCCTCTCCTGAGATAGTCTATGCCAAGGATGCACAGAGCATCTGAGCCAGTCACAGTATGATGTTTTTGCCACTCATTCCCAGTCAGACTCACTTCAGCCTCCAATATAGTTAACTGCTGGGATCCCCCCATCACCCCATAAATGCAGATGGGTTCTGGCCCTTTATAGCTTGATGGTATTATAGTACACTGTGCACTGGTATCTACTAAAGCCTTATACTTCTGTGCATCTGACATGCCAGGCCACCAAATCCACACCGTCCAATAAACTCAGTTGTCCCTCTCCTCCCCCTGGCTGGAGGCAGTGCCCCTCTGATCCTAGTCAGAATCTCTGTTTCTGTGTCTAAAGTACTGCTGCTGGAAATTGGAGCAGCAAATTTTTCAGAGAACCCCTTTTCCCCAATTGTTTTCTTTTGCAACTCCCATACCCGTGCTTCCAGGGTCAAGGAAGATTTTCCATCTCATTTTCTCATGTCCTCTCCATGGTCACGTAGGTAAAACCACAGTGTGGCACGGGGTGTGTACCCACCATATTGTCTTCCTTGTGCGGATGAATGCTTACTTGACAGTGAGACACTGGTTTGTACAGGTGGGGAAGAAAATAAACTCTCTTCAAGTTGGTGGACCTTTTCAGAAGTTTCTCCAACGTTCTCTTTTGGTTGGTGGACACTGGTTCGTTAGGTGGGGAGGAAGATAAGGAGGTAGATAAACTCTTTAACTTGGTGGAATTCTTCTGAAAGTTTCTCCACAGCTGAGACACAGGCCTGTAAGGAAGAGGAGAGACTTTCTTCGTACTGCCGGAGTTGTTTAGCCACTTCATCCACTGTGGGTTCCTCATCCTCTTTCCAGGCCATTATTGCCAATGAGCTGGCATATGATGATGGTGCACTCCGTACAAACTTCCGCCACATGGGTCGTGTACACCTGACTTCATCGGATCTGTGGATGTTTTTCTGAGGTCTGGGTCCTAATAAATCACCTCCTGTATGGCTAATTCCCTCATACTGGATTCCCTTCTCCATAGTGGTCCACTTGCCTGGTAAACATAAAAGTTCTTCCTGAAGGGATACTTTCCTCACAGCTGAGAGGAGACGCCTCCAGAGGTTGTGAGATTGTGCTCCATCTGCAATTGCTTTGTCAATGCCGTCTCTAGCAAGGGATCCCAGCCGCCTGGCTTCCCTGCCTTCTAATTCCACAAATTGGCTCCAGTGTCCCAGCACCGGAGCAGCCAGGTGACAAGCTGCTCACCTATGCAACAACCAAATCTTTTCGTACATTCATAGCTCAGCTGGTATAGCTTTTGGGTAGTTACTATTGATTTTTGGCATCCTCATCTTCCTCCTCCTGAATCCCTGATGGCCCAGCATCGTCATCTCTATACCTAGATTTGGCAGAAGACTCTCTGCGTTCTAAACGACCTGAATCCTATACCATTTTTTACTTCCTCTAGAGGGCAACTTGCACTGCTACAGCTCGTTTCTCTGACCCAGCCACAGGAGCTGGAGCAGCTGCAGGAACTGGAACTGGAGTGGCTGCAGAACTGGAGCGGCTGCAGGAACTGGAGCTAGAGCGGCTGCAGAGTCCATCATAGGGGTTGCAGTGGCCATTGGATCTTTCACAGGACTCGGAGTGTCCACAGGGTCTGTCACTGAGTTGATAGTAATATCATTTGCAGCTCGATAGGCATGAGCCAGGCCCCAGCACGTTACAATGATTTGTGTCACTTGGAACTGCCATAGTCATGACACCTTTTTTCAAGCTTTCTACCAGTTTTTTAGGATTTTGCAGTTGTTCAGGGGTGAATTTCCAAAAACTGGAGGTGCCACTGCTCTAAATGCCTGCCCATATCCTCCCATACTCCTGCCACTCACAACTATACTGCCTCCGGGCAGATCTCGGATGAGATTCCTAAGCAGTTGTTTAAATTTAAGCAAAACCTGAAGCACATTCGGAGGCATAACAACAAGACCATGCTGGTCTAAGTATCCCAAGGATATTCAGTATCTTGGAGAGCTACTGTAACAAGCTCGGAGGATAAGAGGGTGGTGAAGGAGAAAGGGAGAGTGATCAAGGAGGATACAGGGGTGGTGAAGGAGAAAGGGAGAGTGAACGAGTAAGAAAAAATATCTTCCCCTTTCCCCTCCACAGATTGACTCCCTGCTGAAAAAAGGCAATAGGTATGATTGCTAATAGTTTCCGAGTATCATTTCCAAAGTATAGAGTCGACAACGTTGCTGAGTACAAATACCAAGTTAGAGTCATGACCAGATATTTCATCGTCTCATAAGCCACTGTTACAACACACAGTACCATAATGATCTGAAACCAGGGCCCGGAGAGGATAAACAACATGACAGAGAGCACATACAGAAAATAATGTGCTGTAATACTCAATTTGGAAAGCAGCTACAGCAGAGTTGAGATGAAAGCAATCAGCATTATGACAAGTGACTATTAAGCAGGTCTAATACTTATACCAATTTTAGTTTAACACACTCTGGTCAGATCTGTCATTATCTCAACCCTTCATGCCTCACGTTGGGCGCCAAAAGGACGTTGTGGTTTAACCCGGCCAGCAGCTAAACACACACAGCCGTTCGCTCACCCTCCCCTCTCCCTCTCTGGGATGGGTGAGAGACAGGAAAGTGAAGCTCATGAGTTGAGATAAAGACAGTTTATTAAGACAGGAAAATAATAACAATAATAATATAATAATAATACATAATAATAATAATAATGATGATAATAGTACTACTAATAATAATGTGTACAAACAAGTGATGCACAATGCAATTGCTCACCACCCGCTGACCGATGCCCAGCCTAACCCCGAGCAGTCTGGCCCCCTCCCCCGGCTAGCCACCCCTATATATTGTTTAGCATGATGTCAGATGGTACGGAGTACCCCTTTGGCTAGTTTGGGTCACCTGTCCTGGGTCTGTCCCCTCCCAACTCTTGCTGCACCCCCAGCCTGCCCGTTGGCAGGACAAAGCAAGAAGCTGAGACATCCTTGGCTTGGTATAAGCACTGCTCTGCAACAATTAAAACATCAGGGTGTTATCAGCACTCTTCTCATCCTAAGCCAAAACATAGCATTCTACCAGCTACTAGGAGGAAAATTGACTCTGTCCTAACTGAAACCAGGACAAGGTCCTCGGGTTCTTCTTCCTCACACCCCCCCCCCCCCCCCGCCTTCTTTTTCCTCACTCTTACTCCATTTTTCCCTATCTCTAACTTATGCTCCTATCACTAACACTCTTTCATATCCTACTGTTATCTGTTACCATCACTCCCCCACCCTGCCATCCCCTCACCCCCTGAGAAGTGACATTTAGCATGATTTGGGTGCAGAGTTGACTACTATAGTCACACATGTTTATCATGTACTTCATTGAGCTCATTATCATATTCAGAGATCTTAACATCAATATTCATTTTACAAATAATCATGCAAAAGCTTTCACTCTAGACACTATAGCTGCCAATATTTTGTTCTGTCACCAAACAGGGTTGTCCTGCCACTAGAACACTCCCTCCTTCAGCTGTCTCTCACACCAAGATTGTGGATCACCATCTTTAAGTTTATACAAGAGAAAGCAGGAACAAGCTGTTCAACTCCCCTTTTGTCCTGTGTTGGTGCCTATCAGTGACACAAACTAGTCTAACTACTCTCCACACATGAAATATCCTGAGTTGGAAGGGATTCACAAGAATCACAGAATCCACGGATCACATGGATCATAGAGTCCACACCATTTCCAGAGTCTTTTGGGGTGATTCACTAGATCCACTGATTTCACTAGAGGAATACCAAATAATTCACCAGGCTCCTTTCTCTATGGCTGCTGTGTTACCTAGTGTAACAAAGCTCTTCTTTGCCTGTAGAAGGGAATGAATATTGTCATATCTTTGTGGAAAACACTATGACAACTAAAGCAAAGAAATAACAAATAAACATGAAATAACAAATAAACACAAAATAAAAATAATAAAAACAAAGTAAGTAAAAATAAAATTAAAAGTAGAAAATCAGGGCTTGTAACAAGTTACGTTATGAGTGATATATAGACGAAAACAGGAAGATTAATGCCTCTCAGAAACATTCTGTCATCATTTTCCTAACTGCATCCTTGAGTTCCTGGTTCCTCATGCTGTAGATGAGGGGGTTCACTGCAGGAGGCACCACTGCATACAGAACTGCCAGCATAAGATTCAAGGAGGAGGAGGACATGGAGGAGGGCTTCAGGTAGGCAAATGTGCCAGTGCTGATGAAGAGGGAGACCACGGCCAGGTGAGGGAGGCACGTGGAAAAGGCTTTGTGCCGGCCTTGCTGTGAGGGGATCCTCAGCACAGTCTTGAAGATCTGCACATACAACAGCACAATGAAAACAAAACACAAAAAGAGTAAACATAAAGTAACCACAACAAGACCAAGTTCTCTGAGGTAGGCATCTGAGCACGAGAGCTTGAGGATCTGGGGAATTTCACAGAAGAACTGGTCCAGGGCATTACCTTGGCAGAGGGGGAGGGAAAAGGTATTGGCAGTGTGCAGCACAGCATAGAGAAAAGTACTGCCCCAGACAGCTGCTGCCATGTTGACACAAGTTCTGCTGCCCATTATTGTCCTGTAGTGCAGGGGTTTGCAGATGGCAACATAGCGGTCATAGGACATGATGGTGAGGAAAGAAAACTCTGCTGCGACAAAGAGAGCAAACATAAAAATCTGGGTAGCACAACCCAAGTACGAAATGGCCCTGGTGTCCCACAGGGAATTAGCCATGGCTTTGGGAACAGTGGTGGAGATGGAGCCCAGGTCAAGGAGGGCAAGGTTGAAGAGGAAGAAGTACATGGGTGTGTGGAGGCGGTGGTTGCAGGCTATGGCTGTGAGGATGAGGCCATTGCCCAGGAGGGCAGCCAGGTAGATGCCCAGGAAGAGCCCGAAGTGCAGGAGCTGCAGCTCATGTGTATCTGCAAATGGCAGGAGGAGGAACTCAGTGGGAAGCTGCTGTTGGACATTTGCAGTCTCAGGGCATGACTGGCTGTCCATGGTGGAAAAAACAGACACAAGTTAGGTAAACTTCTGTGACCAAAACCTCTAACATATTTCACAGAACCCTCCACAGCAAGACACACTGCTTCTTCCCTGTGAGCCATGTTTTTTTTCTGTCTAATGGTGTCAGGGATCAGGCAGATCCTCTGTGAGATCAGAAGTTAGTACTACTTTACAGCATCTGGTAAAGAGCACCAGGTATGGATCTCAGGTGCACACTGGCCAGAGGTATTTCCCTATTTGCAGATCCTGAGCAGGATATCCAACAATCTTTCAAGAAACAGAGACAGTGGTTTTAGTGCTCTCTAGGTGAAAGGGTGTGGAACAAAACTGTGAGTTTCCTCAAAGACCGACAGACCTTTCAGTGTAATGTTCTCTGATCTTCGGTCATTCATTCAAACCAGACAACTCTATTACCATCCCCCTAGCTGCCCTTCAAAACAGAAAAGTGAAAGCAGAAACTTCACAGAGTGCCTTCCCTTCAGATACAGCAGACATTGGTCTTCCCTGTGAAGAATCTCCCCCAGACATGCAGTGGGGGTGCTGTGGAAATGTGAGCAGCCTGATCTAGGGAGCAGCCTCTGGGCAGCAGCAGGACCCTGCCCTGCCCTGTCACAGCTTCTTCCTTCCCTTCTACCCTCAGCTTCTCCCTGCAGCACCCTGGGCAGCTACAATGCAGGCTGAGTGCTGAGCCTGGCAGGCAGCAGAGGCCCTGCCCTGGCACACAGCCCCTGGGGCACTGCAGGGACCCTACTCTGCACCACAGCCCTGGCCACCCCTGCCTGCACAACGGCTGCACAGCCGACAGCCAGCCCCTCTAGAAGGAACCCTCATGTCCTGTCCCTCTGTTATTTACGGCAGAGAAACCCTGCTCTGGACCTTGTCATTCTTCTCTACCACAGAGAAAGCAGAGTGCTCCTGAAAGCTCCCGTAGGCTGTGGGATTTGACAGCAAATCTGGAGATGGCACCAGGAACAACAGCTGTGCTGCCCTGCAGCCAGAGACTTACCCTATTCAGGGCTGTGAAGATTTCTCCCACTGTGAGCTCTCAGCATCCCCCAATCCACACTGCCTTTAACATCTCCCTCCCTTCTCTAAGTTGTCCTTGTCCCCTGCAGGCAGTGCCCCGAGCCTTGCTGATGTGCTGTGCAGAGGAGCTGCTCCTGGGAAGAGCTGTCTCTCTGCAGTGCTGCCCGCTTGCCAGGAGCTCCCCTTGGGCCCAAGAGCCCAACCCAGCTCAGCAGCACAGCTTCAGCCCAGGGCCTCACTGTCTCTGCCCTGTCTTGTGTCCCTTGAGATATCCCTGGGTCTCTAGGGTTATCAACATTTAAACAGGCTGAAGCAATCCCTGATGTTCCCTCCCACAGCTGAGGAGAGATACTTACTTCCAGCAGTGTCATTTCTTGTAGCAGGAGAAGTTTCATCAAAGAATTCCCTTGTCATCTTCCACTTTTAGGCAGGACACCCAGAATGTGACTGGCAGGGATCGCATTTTCCCAAGCTGAGGGAAGTGATCACAGGGAGTCAACTGATGCATCTCATTCTGAGTTTGATGTCCTAGGCCTGTAATGGGACCCAGAACCTTCCATATCAGCCACAAACCCACACGATTTGGGATTTCTCTCACCTCTGTTCAGATATATACAAAATACTCTAGGCTAAGCTCCCACGGTAATTAAAGGATATAGAGAAGAACAGTGAGTTGTTCAAATACAAACGCCATTTGACATTTGAGGTGCCCGAGGATGTCCGACTTAGCAGTAATCCTTTAAGTTAGGACTTCAGAGACTGGGAATGTAGGTATTAGAGTTTTTTCAGTGTAGACTGCCTAAAAATGTGGCCTCCCTTTGTGCCTTGTCACTAACCTGGAAGCTATCCCTTGTCATTTAGCTAAATAATATAAACCTCCCCTATAACATATCTCTCTCGTCCCCAAAAGTGGGAGTAGATTAATGGAGAAGCGGTAATTTAGAGACAGTACTTTCTGAAAGGTGCTTGAAAGCTTAGGCACATGAGTAGACTGCCCTACATCTACTATATTAGTAGGCTTAGTCAATGGAGTTGAGTGTAGAGGGGCCTTACAGAGACATCTTGATAGATCAGAATGTTGGTCAGTTGCCTACAATATAAAATTCAACAAGAACTAGTGCCAGGTTCTGTACATCAGGCCGTGTATTCCTGAATATACATATAGACTGAGGGACAAGTGGATGGAGCATAACTCTGCAGAAAGGGATCATAGAATCATAGAATCATAGAATATCCTGAGTTGGAAGGGACCCTTAAGGATCATCAAGTCCAACTCTTGACACCGCACAGGTCTACCCAAGTTCAGACCGTGTGACTAAGTGCACAGTCCAATCTCTTCTTAAATTCATTCAGGCTCGGTGCAGTGACCACTTCCCTGGGGAGCCTGTTCCAGTGTGCAACCACCTCTCTGTGAAGAACCCCCTCCTGATGTCAAGCCTAAACTTCCCCTGCCTCAGCTTAACCCCGTTCCCGCGGGTCCTGTCACTGGTGTTAATGGAGAAAAGGTCTCCTGCCTCTCGACACCCCCTTACGAGGAAGTTGTAGACTGCGATGAGGTCTCCCCTCAGCCTCCTCTTCTCCAGGCTGAACAGGCCCAGTGCCCTCAGCCGTTCCTTGTACGTCTTCCCCTCCAGGCCTTTCACCATCTTGTAGCTCTCCTCTGGACACTCTCCAACAGTTTCATGTCCTTTTTATACTGTGGTGCCCAGAACTGCACACAGTACTCGAGGTGAGGCCGCACCAGCGCAGAGTAGAGCGGGACAATCACCTCCCTCGACCTACTAGCGATGCCGTGCTTGATGCACCCCAGGACACGGTTGGCCCTCCTGGCTGCCAGGGCACACTGCTGGCTCATATTCAACCTGCTGTCTACCACGACCCCCAATCCCTCTCTTCTAGGCTGCTCTCCAGCGTCTCAGCGCCCAGTCTGTACGTGCAGCCAGGGTTTCCCCGTCCCAGGTGCAGGACCCGGCACTTGCTCTTATTGAACTTCATGCGGTTGGTGATCGCCCAGCTCTCCAACCTATCCAGGATCTCAGGGCTGATGTTCCACAATGTTCCCTGCAGGGACCATGGTGGAGTTGATCCTGCAGGAGGGCAGCACAGCTGGCAAATAGCAAGCTCACAACTCTGGTCTTGGGGAGAGCAGTCTTTGGCCTCTTGGAAGGTGAGAAGCTGAAACGTCCTTGGCTTGGTGTAAGCACTGCTCTTCAACAATTATAACATCAACATGTTATCAGCACTCCTCTCATCCCAAGCCAAAAGACAGCATTCCACTAGCTACTAGGATGAAAACCAACTCTGTCCTAACTGAAACCAGGACAGCCCCCTTTAGGTATTGGAAGGCTGCTAGAAGGTCTCCTCAGGGCCTTCTCTTCTGCAAGCTGGACAACCACAACTCTCTCAGCCTGACTTCATAGGAGAGGACCTTGAGCCTTGTGATCATCTTTGTGGCCCTTCTCTGGACTCATTCTAATACTCCTGTTATATATGTTCATCTGATTCGTGTCAGTATGGAACAGTGCTAGGGCTGCATGGTATGATGAATGTGACCTTCTGTCTTACATACCCTTGTATAACCACAAGTCTAAGAAAAACAGAATGGTTAATGTATATAGTTCTTGTACCTTGCAAAGGAATGTTTTAACAATTCATGTCACTAGAGAGCAGTTCTGTCTGTCTCTGGATCCTGCACTGGCAATTTAATTCTTCCACAGATGTGGTTTCTTCTCTTTCCTCCCCGTGTCCCAGTCTCCCCCTCATTATAGTCAATTTATCAAATCTTCAGAAATAGTCCTCAAATCCATGAGCCTATTTGCTTTTGTTACTGATTCTGAACTCTTATTCCTAACAGTTACAGCCTTCTTGCCTTCTTTGTGGTTGATTTAGCACTGCTACAGATGTGACTGGAGTATCCCTGTGAATGGCCTGTGAGGAATGTTTTAACAACTCGTGAAGTGTCAATAGAGAGCTATTTATATTTGTATGTTCTTTCTTTGAAGTCTCTGATGTCTGGGGGTTTCAGAACAACTGCTAACAACTAGTAACTGTTATGACTTCTGAATGGGACACTATGCAAGCCCCTGATATCTGGCCAGGTGGCCAGGAGATTAAGGAGAAGAAAGAAGCTGAAGGATGGCTAGAAGACAAAACTTGCAGGGGACGCTGTGTAAGCTTTTGACATGCTGCCAAGGAGTACAAAGGGGAAGGACAAGAAAAAAAAATGAGAGGAAGACTATGAGCCTTCAGCATGAAAGACCCCCAGAGACCCCCAGAGGGACCACGGAGACTGATGCGCATGCTCCAGTAGGAGGGTTTGGATCCCAGAAGCTAATTATAATAACCCGTTTTTTTTTAGATGTAGTAATGAATATATATCAGCCTAGGAGCATAAAAATCAGCTGCTTGATGTAACTGGTGTGTGTTTAGGTGGAGCGGAGACTCCCAACGCACCCAGCGCTGTTTGCTTACCTCTATTCTTTTAAAAAATTGTAAACTTTGATTATAATCCTATTTTGGGACTGAGAGATTTCTAACAATTTGGGGGCTCGTCCGGATGGCTATGGTTCCTGAATTCTGATTTGATCTAGGAGAGGCGCCCCACCATTTGGTGGCTCCTGTTTGAGTCAGGTCAGGACTAATGCCATCTTGAACTGAATAAAGGTAAGCAAAGAATTTGATTGCCTTGGGGCAGATCTCAACTACTTAAGTAGTTGTTTAAGAATAAGCAAAACCTAAATCACATTCAGGAAACATCACAGTGGGAACATGCTGGTTTGATCAACCCAAGGATATTCAAAGCTTTGAAAAGCTAGTGTAATTAGCCTGGAGGAGAAGCAGGAGGTGAAGGAAAAAGGGAGAGTGAAGAAGTGGGGAAAAGCATCCCCCACTGCCCTGCATAGATTTACTCC